TTGCGCAATGATGCGCCTTCCCGTAAATCGAGTTTTATTTATAATTACGGGAAACCTAAGTGGTGGGAGATTGTAATCTGCTATCGCTGATCTCTTACCCTGGAAATATCAATCTTCCAGCTGTCATGCCGACTCATCAGTTTTATTACTTCCACAGAACAAGTATAGAGACACCAGTTACCTGAGAGGCAGAAACCAGTATTGTCAGGTGTTTATGTACATGCATATTGCACAAAAACAGGAAGTTTGGTGATTCAGCCGCTTTGGGGTCACACATTGTTCACACATGTTCTGTATTCTGGATCTGACACTGCAAGAGAGATGAGTCAGAAATGTGGAGGTCCACAGTCCCGGAGAGATCTCCATCTCTGTATATACATCACATATACCACGGCGCTGTACAGAGAGAACACTGAGCCAGTCACATCAGTCTCTGTACAGAGGAACTTACACTCTAATGTCCCCCCCACAGTCACATCAGTCTCTGTACAGAGGAGCTTACACTCTAATGTCCCACCCCCATAGATCCCTATAATACTGTATTCTTCCTTTGTCATGGAGGATTGGGTCTCGTTCTTCCTCCTCTATCCCGAGTCCTGTATTGTGGCTGATGGGGGGAAGTCGGGAGCTCTACTGAATTTACCGCAAGAATGTGCTGATGAATCAGAGGGAAATGATGTGGAATACAGCAAGAGGCGAGAAGAGATCCAGAGAATAATATTCAGCAGCTAGAGATCCCGACATACACACACAGACCTTCCATGACTGTATTATTATTCTTGTACTGGATGGCGTCATCCATTTGTCACTGCAGCACCCACAATTTCCTAGGGACGTATTGGTCAGGAGTGCGATGGGTTATGGACATTAGAGCTGTGAGGTCCTCACACTGGCCATACACATAGCAAAACACGGTTGACCAGTTGTGGATTCTAAAGTTTACGTTGTTTTGCCTGCAAATGATTCAACCCCCTTAAGAGTGGTGCATTTTAGCAGGAAGATCTCACTGTAGGAACAAAGTTCATTCTGGACTTTATGATGGTTGCAGTCCCATTGTATAATCTCTATAAAGATCTTCCAACAGATGTGCAGTGTGAGGGCATTTCTGATTAGATACACATTGAATGGATTGTTTAGATAGGACTGTGACGGACCCAGGGCTGCAGAGATTCATTGCCCCGGAGAACATTGTGCGCTGTGTGTGTTTTCCAGTTTAATATTTTATCTGGGGAGAGCCGGTCACTGTGTGACTTGATGTGAACCATTTTTCTAAAGGCGTCAGGCTGTCTGGAGTGACCATTGATTAGAGTGATGGGATTAAGCTCTTCTCTAATTAAGAAAGTCCAATGCGGCACCTGGCTGTCTAGGGGAGGGAATGTAGCAATGAATGCTAATCTGATTCTATGAGGTATAACCTCTGTGTGCTCTTCTACAATAAAGCAGTTCATGTTTCACTCCAAAGTCAGTATTGTCTGATTCTTGGGGTAAGCCCCCCATGCCATAGTCACTGGCTTCTGGTTCCAGCACTCAGGGAACAGGCTTAAGACGGGGTATCAGGGAGTCCGTCACAAGGACTTCATATTATAGTGCTTTGGTTTAATACATCTAGAGGCATGTTACAGATATTGTACAGTCAGAATGTAATGTGTATGTCCATCTTTGAAGAATTGTTCTGCTCAAGGCTCAAAGGTCTCCAGCATTGACCTGCTGGTTGTGTAGACCACGTACCGAGGATATTGGTGGAGAAGGCTGTGGTGTGGTGGCTTTAGGAAAAGAGAATTAATAAAGTCAGCAGACGACAGACAGATAAAAGCAATCTGACATGTGCATAGTAAATAAACACAAGGCCAATGATACAATGTGGAATTTAAGTCAGCGTCTCCTCGGTGTGGAGGGTGATTGAGAAATCCTGATGATGCTCCTCGCTGGTTTCAGATGTTTGGAAAGTGACCATCCAGCATTCCATGATCATAGTATCATTATCAGATTGCAACCATCATCCCCTGCTTATCTTATCACTGCTGCCGAAGCCAAGTCATGGAATGATGGGAAATCTGAGTAAATGGGTCATTGTGTACTGAGGTTTTCTAAGAAGAGAAAAGACAGACACGGAGAGACTAAGCGGAGGGGCTACATGACTGGGGGGAGGAATAGTCCCGGGAGAAAGGGTTAAAAAAGAAAATGGGAATAGCTGCTCTTACCTGATTGGACGTGGGAGTCAGGTGTCCGGGAGGAGCCGCATGGGAAGGGACTGCGAGGGCTGAGGGACGTCCTCTTTCTGGAAATCGACGAAGGAAGCAGGTTGTCCCACCCTCCCTCCCTGAATTTGGTGGTTATGGGGTGTTTCTTTTGTCACGGCAGCTTGGCGGGTTAGGGGGTCTTTGGGGGGTCTACAAAATCGGAGTTCATTACAAAATGTGGGGGGCCCTCAGCTGGTATGGGTGCTTCCCCCTGTTGGTGTCCGGATTTGTAAAGGGCGGGGGCCTGGCCCCTTGGGAACCCGGAAGGAGTAAGTGTCCTCGAGCTGGTTGTGGTGCGGCTGGGGACATGGGTGGAGTGTTATGAGAGGCCTTTTGGGCTGGCGGGCACCCAAAGACCCCTTCTCAGGTCAACCCTTGTTAAAGTATTATTTTTGTATATTTGGTTTATTACTTTGGTTATTGTTAAAGTTGTTTGTTTAATAAAAGGGCTGCTGTGGCCGTTAAAATCCATGTCGCACAGTCCGTGTGTTTATTGGGGTTTTTAACTGAGGGACAGAAAATTGACGAATCCATCAGTCAAGATTAGTAAACAAGTTCTATTCCTCCCGATTATTAAAGATCAGACATATACTGTCCTCGCATTAATCAGAGGATTTCTGCACGGACCTTACACCCTAATAAAGACCTGTGCTACCTGTATCATGTCTTACAGTCTAGTTGTACAGACAGATACTTATTCCTCATTACCCAGTCCTGACTTTTTTCTGTACTTTTTTTTTTTACGATCAGTCCATCCAGAGAGTTAAAGTCCAACTCCAGGCTCCCGGCTCAAGTTGACTTACCCCCTCCTTGTGGCCACCACTAACTGTGTTTTCTGGATTTGTTAAATACACATTTTCAGAAGTCTTCAGGCCAGTCACGTGATGCTGGAGGGTCCTCTTCCTCTTTGCTTTTTCTCCAGGCTGGGTGATCGTCACTGATGCAGAAAGAATAAGGTGGGCACCCTTGGCGTTGGGGCTATAACACCCTACACTCATGTTCAATGTGCTGGGCATATTTTAGCCCAGAAGTTTGAGGATATCTCATGGTGAAGAAGAGGTACTGCGAGGGACAATAGATTAAAGGATAGTATTGCAACCACAGCTGCTTTTTTATTTTTTAACTTATTCTAAGGGACTTTTTATTAAAAAAGCCCAGAGTTGGACTTAAAACCACCAGATTATTCCATCAGTCTCCTAGGATCTCTATTGGTAAGATCCTTGTGCTTGAGTTCCTCGGTCTGCACACCTGCTGTGGCCATTATAAGAGGTTCCCAACATCCCCTTTGGAATTTTTTTTTATATTATGGAGAATGTAAAAAGAGGAGTGGGAACATACAAACGTGGGCAGGACCACCCAAAAACTCCAGGTGTACCCTCATTAAGAAGTCAGCAGGTTACATAAAGTGAAATGTCTCCACTTGGTGATTCTCTCCAAGGGAAACAGTTGTTTCAGTCATTATTGTTAATAGAGTATTGTATGTTGTTAGCCATTAATTAGTGCAGAAAGCTTAGCATTTAAGGTATACACTTTATTGGCTATCTTTAGTTATTAAAGATACAAGCTTTGGGGATTCCTTAGATCCCTTCAGTAGGCTACAAAGCCTACAAAGGGATCTAAGGCAACCTCTCTCAACCTGGGTGCCGTGGGACCTTGGGGTCTCTTCTGCCTTCCTCTGGGGTGCCTCAAAATGTTTACACAGCATCATGCCTTTCCATAGTACAGACAGGCTCCTGCTGTGAAGGGGGAACTCTGATATGAAAGGGGGGG